GCTTGGGCCAGGCTGCTGGTGGCCACGTCCTGGTGACTAGAGGCAGACTTTCCGTGGGCCCAGGCCGGTACCCTGAGCCATCGGGCGGGGGGGGTTGGTATTTCCCGGCAGCTCATTCTCTTTGATGGCTCCGTTTCCAGCTGCGGCCAGGCCCCTCCCGGACGTGGGCGATGCCGAAGAAAACTACGTGTGAGGCGCTCCTCCTCGGCGGCGCGGCCGAGGCCAGGAGACGGGCATTACGTGCGCTGTACAAACCGTGTACCGGATATTTATTATGGAGACCCAAGAGCCTTATTTATAGCTGTCGACGTACCGCAGGGGCCCGGTTCCCGCTCCTCTGGCCCTGCCTCGGGGCCCCGGGGGGGACGAGGGCGGCTTTACGCCACCTTGCTGCGCCTCATGGGGCAGGGCCCGGCGAGTCTCGGGGGGGCACCCCGCTTAAGGCCCCCCATGCTGCCAGAGGGCCTGGGTGTCCCTGGGCACGGGGCCCATGCTGCGCCCGAGGCAGCGCTCCCAAGGGGTCGTTTCCGTGTCTTAACTCTTGGTGCCCCCGGCTGCCCGCGCAGCCAGAGTCTTCCCGCGAGGGGTCTGGGCAGCTCCCAGTGCTTGGCCGCTGGCTTCAGAGCCGGTCGCCGCGTCTTTGGTTTCCCTCTCGCCCAGCCCAGGCTGCCTCACGCGGCGCGGCGTCCGCAGGGACGTGGGGGCGGGTCTTCGGCAAGGGGTCCTGGACCTGCGACCGCTGGAGCGAAACACCTCCGTGCCGTGGCAGGCTCACGGGCCTGTGGACCCCCCTCCCGGCCAGGGCACCGGGCTCCAGGTAAAAGGTCTGGCTTTGGAGCCGCGGTCTCCCTCTCGCCCAGCCCAGGCTGCCTCACGCGGCGCGGCGTCCGCAGGGACGTGGGGGCGGGTCTTCGGCAAGGGGTCCTGGACCTGCGACCGCTGGAGCGAAACACCTCCGTGCCGTGGCAGGCTCACGGGCCTGTGGACCCCCCTCCCGGCCAGGGCACCGGGCTCCAGGTAAAAGGTCTGGCTTTGGAGCCGCCTTCTCCCAGAGGAGCCGGGGGCCCCTTTCTCCTGGCCGTGCACCTGTTTTGCCGTCGGGCAGGGCCTGGGCTAAGAGCAGGACACCTCAGAACGGGCCCTGTGCCAGAGCGAGGGGCCTTTTTGCCCAACTAGCCCCACCCCCTTTTACCTGCAGCCAATGCCAGGCCTGGGGGGAGGATAAGAGGGGCGCCCGGCTCAGTTAGGGGCTGACCAGTGACGAGGGAGGAGCTGGAGCTGGCTCTGCTGCCTGTAGGAACAGGGCTGGCCACGGGAGCCTGCAAGCCTCCCACCCCTCCCCCGGCGCAAAGGGGGAGACCCTACGAGAAACCGCGTTGAGGAGGGGGAAATTGGACTCTTGGGGCCACGCCCCAAACTTAGGAACCAGACTTAGAAAAGAGGCTGGAATTCCTGGGCCCAGGGCCCGAGCGGCAGGGGGCCCCCTTCCCTTTCCCCCAACTCACACCTGCCCTGGACACCAGGCCCCAGGGAGATGAGTTAGAGACCAGCAGGCAGGTTGGGTCCCAGCTCTGACCCCTGATGTCCCCTCTGTCGGCTTTGCACCGTCCGTGTGAGTGAGAGGAGAACCCGGCCCAGTGCCTTTTGGGGGTGAAACATCGTCCCAGGGGGTTTCAGGTCAGCCCCTCCCTAGTTAAACCCCCGGGCGCCAGCTGGCCCCCACTGAAGGCTGCTGCTACAGAGCATGCTGCGGGTTTCCCTGCAAACTCTCTCCCCCGGCTGGGCACCGTCCCAGGCAGCTCCCCCAGGTCCCCCTCTGGGACCCAGAGCGGCAGCCGGGGAGAAGGGGGCACAGTGAGGCTACGCCTAGGCTGCCGGGCTTTTTCGGGGCACCTAAGG